CGCCCTTCAATTTTTAGCGTAAGGATTTTAGAAAAAAGTATCGTCTTATAGTCGGAAAATACGGTATATCATTTGTCTTAAAATGTCAACGATCTGAATTCATACCAGTTGTAAGGCTGGTTCTTCAGTACTAAGTGAAACATGTATGATTCCATTCTACTATTTTAGAGAGATTTTCATCATTGACCAGGGAAGGGGATATTAGAGTATGGTGACATTCAGATTGTGTGAAAGGGAAAATGTGGGGTGCCATTTTAAAGGCAGTGACGGACTTGTTCGTTTTATTCTGCACCTTGCACAGGAGATGTGATTGCTTCTGAGAGCAGTGTGGGAGAAGGAACAGCAGAAACTGGAGCGAATGACATCATCCAGATTGAGGAAGAAGGCAGCAGTGTTGGAAGTGGTCAGTAGCCTTCTCTCTTTTTTGTAGTAGTTTTTATTAAAGTTTAAAATGCAAAGATAAAAAGACTAATACGAACTAAAAGAAAAAAGAAAAAAGGGCAGAGAGGAAAAAAAGGGGGGAAATGAAGAAAAGGGTTATATAAAGAAATGACTTCCCCCTTCATCAAGGCAAGTAGGAAAAAAATCAGGAATTTATCACGTTCTCTAAATTTCAAAGAAAGATCTCTTCATCCCATATCTCATATTTTATCTATTTACAAATAATAAAGCCTTGTCATTTCAATGTTAATCAGCAAAGGTCCATTAAGAGTTACCAGAAATAACTATGTATTATATTAACCTTAAACAAATAGATCAATTTCATGTTCCTTTACTTTACACGGTAATTTATCATTTTCTCTAAAAACACAACAAAAAACCCTCTTCTTCCCATATCTTACTTCATATCTATAAACAAATCTTTAAAGCCTTGTCATTCAAACTTAATCAAGAAAAATTCTATTAAGAGGTACCAGAAGCAGCATATTGAAAATCTTGATCTTTAATCCGTTCAAATAGTGTCCCACAAGTTAATTTCTTATCATTTTCTCGTCATCTCCTCTCAGAAACTCCTTTGCAGGTTTCACTTTCTTTCAGTTTTAACACCATGTCTTATCACTTTCTCTAAAAATACAACAAAAAATATCTTCTTCCTGTATCTTATCTATAAACAAATCTTAAAAGCCTTGTCATTCAGTCCTGGTCAAGAAAAACCCATTAAAAGCTACTAGAAAAAAAAAATCATAAGTATGTTAACCTTGATCGAATAAGTCAATTTTATATTCCTTCTTTTTTGCTTTTAAAAGTTTTGATGTTCATTCCTTAGTGTCCCAAAAGCTGATTTCTTTTTATTCTCTCTTTGTCTTTTCTCAGGAACTCCTTCATAAGTATAACACATCTCTTTTGTAAGTCCAAAATAAGAGTCACTTTTATTGTCTTGTCCAACTCACTGTTCTGATTTGTGTGTCCCTTTTAGCTATTAAAACATCAGCCGGTTTCATTTGTATGTCCTGTGTAACATCCTTATCAATATAATTCTTATAGCTTGTCATATTTAAATCCATATCCAAAATGGCCTGATTCTCAGTTATATCCTCTTCTGTCTTCTCTTTTAAACCCATTTTTACAGTAACAGACAATCTTAAGAGAAAGTTCTGAGTATATTATTGCCAAATATCCTTAAATTCATCCAGAGTTGAAATACTTTTCTCCATTCTGTATTAGTTAATCTTTTCTCCTTTAATTGTAATCTTTAGTTCTTTCTAGTTGCCTCAAGGTCTCATCATGTTTTTCTCTAATCCACAACATTTTCCCATGGAAAGATTTCTTACACTTATATCCAAAATCTTCATATATATTTTAATAGGATTTTAAACAACCCACAGGAAGGATTTGTATAATTAATTTCAAAATCATATTTCCAGTCAATCTGGCCTGTTAATCCATTTGTAACTTTCCAGAATCAATATTCTAATCACCCTTTTGCTGTTTATTTCAGAATATTTTTTTTCTTTAAGTTCTTAAACTTACATGAAACTTCTTTTGCAGAGAATTGAAGGAGAATCACCCGGTATTAAGAACTTCTGAAGATTCTTAACCTCCAAAAAGTAGTTAGCAAGCCATTTCCAGAAGTGATTAAGAGAGGAAGTGGGCAAACCCAGTGTCCATTTGAAGGCGTTGAACTGTGGCTTAGGCAAGATGACTTTCTCCCAGCTCCCAGAGCTCTGAAACCCATGGGAGACTGCTGTTTTATGGTCTCCTCATGGGGAGCCTCTGTAAGGAGCACTTCTGAACAATCCTGGTCCTCTCCTTGATCCAGAGAGGAGTTTGGGGGGCCAATCCATTTACCGACTCCTCTTTCCACCATGGCCATCGGCTCTGGTGTGTGCGGAGCCATCTTTAGACTGCCATTGTTTCCCCAGAAGTAGCCTTCTCATTGACTACCTTACTGGGAATGAGAGAGATGCCAGTCTATCCAGATATGGTATTGTGGCTCAGGGTTTGGGATTAATTGTAACAGAATCAGGAACTGTTGTTTTTCTGAATGTGGTAGAAAATTCACCACAAAAGTACCAACAACTGGAGAGGGCCTAACAATTGTTTCATTAGTTCCAAAGCTAGCGGGTTATGGTGAGTCACCAGTCTTCTGCATCCCAAGTGTACATAGTTCTTCCATGGAATGTTAATCAAAGACAGTTCAAGCATTATGAGCCTATGCTAGCAGAAGATCCCAGGTACAGAAAACAATCCTTTATAATTGATAAGGAAGCGAGATAACCACCATGAGTATCCTTCCTGGCATGCAATCACTACAGAAACATCCATACATGTAGAAGGGAAGCAAAGCAGGTTCGATATGTGAGTTGAACCAAGGTGCCAATGTTATTCTGACAGGTTGACCTTGTGTTTACAAGGAGGAGATGAGGAGGCACAGCGTGATATATCCTTGACTCTTTCAAGATGGGAACTCTACAGTCAGTTACTCACGACCCAGGTGCAGATTGGCACAAGAATAACAGTTCCATTCCAAAAGCCCATTAAATGAGGGTACCACAAAGAGTATTAAAGAAACAGACACGCCATGCTGATTCAACCCAATTTCTCATTCCAACCCACCACATGACTCAGCTTGGTGAGGCTCTTTAAGGGCTTGCTGTTGTTTGATGTGTTTTGCCCAGGCAAATATACTGCCTTCTATCCTGTTGTGCAGTGCTGGTGGAAGGTGGCATTCCCATGTGAAAACACAGCTCTGTTTTAAGCCTGACTTCAGTTTTATATCTGTTATTTTGCTTTCCCCATTATTTCTGCCGCAGGAAAAGACTTGGATTCTCAGAGGCTCCAAATGAACCTGGAGGTTCAAGATCCCCTAGAGAGTTTGGGTATGTATTGTTGTGTCCCCACTTTTTTTTTTTTTTGCATGGTATTTGGAGGAGTGACTTCCTAAATGGCAGAAACTGGGTGGGATACAGATGGCTTAGTGTGAGGATGGGCATTGTCCTTCAAATCCCCGCCCCCTGCCCAGTTTTCCAAAAAATGCAGTTTGGATTTATTTTGTTTTAATTTATTTCCCCTACCTCCCCCCACCCCAGATCCAGCTATGACCACTTCAAAGACGGTGGTGTCTCCTGCCACGCGGCTGTCCTTGATAAGGGCCAGGAAGAAGAAGGGGGAACGGGCAGAGAGCATGTTTGAACTCTTCATGCAGGAATCCAGAGAGGAGTTTGGGAAAGAGCAGGAGGAGAGGAGCCGCAACCGAGCCATGTTTGAAACATTTCTGAAGGTCTTTGAGCAGGATGTGGCTGAAAGCAGGGAAGAGAGGAAACAATGCCTGGAGGCCATGCGGGCAAACTCGGACATTTTACGGGACCTTGTCAGTGGTTTGAGCAAGTTAACTGATACCCTGGTCAGCCAGCAACAGACTGGTACAGGGAACCAGCCTTCCATGAGGCACCCACTGCATTCAGCCACTCACAGCAAGGAGAACTTACCCCAGAGCCCTGCCCCAGTGGCCAGGACAGGAATACAAGAAGCCTTGCCCTCTCACCCCACTAGCTCTACCAGTACCCCACAAAAAAGTGGCTCTCGTAGGCCTGCTCCTGTGATTCACACACCACCTAAAGTTTACAAGGAGATTTTCTGAAACATCTTCTGGGCACCCTTTAAAGAGCAGAAAGCGCCATCGAGTTTGAAAAAGCTTGAACAATTTAAAACAAACCTTTTACTAAACCACAGAGAAGATCCTTCTGATCATCTCCTCCCCACCATCTCCACCTGTCCAGCAGACTCTCTGAACTCCCAAGGTGCCTTCAGCATTGCTAATCAACTGCTCCAGAACAATTATAGGGTGGGGGGAGGGAGGGGTGGGGAGTCCATCTTTAGATGGAGTTTTTAGAACCAATAAGGTCATCTACCCACATTCCTAGATCCTGAAATGTGTGTACTGCTTTGCTCACTTCTCCATTCTAGAGCTTGAAGAGCAGTTAAATCTAAGGCTGAGTCCCTCCGTTTTGCTCTCCAAGTTCAATGTGTTGTCCAGGACACACTAGTTGCACCCTAGTGCCAAAGCAAATAACGGTGACCCTCCGTGGCTGCAAGTTTTTAAAAAACATGGCTTGCATTCTCGTTACTGCTATTGACGTGCTTTATTCCAATAGACCCTCTGCCATGTTCTGCATGTGTCCTCATGTGGAATTGCACATCTGTCTTGAGTAATTTGGGATGATGTTCGACACTTAAAAGGACATTCCTCCCAAGGAAGTCCTACTGTCTCACCGATGGAAACATCCTTCAGTCTTTTGTGACTTCTCCGTGTTGCTCTGCAAAAGATGTCACGATCTCATCCTTGAATACCTCCTCCTTTGGACTCATGGAATGAGTTTGCACATCTTGCTTAGCCATTGTGTGGTTTGCTGGGTTAAGTTACAGGAATGTGACTTGGAGTTGAATGTTGGAGTAGAAAGGAAGCCATAAAATGATGTGTTTTAAGGGACATGGAATTAGGCTAGAAAAGCCTAGGCAAACTGGTGTCCTCTAGATGTTTTGAACTATAAATTGCATCAGAAACACCATTTCTCAAAGTCTGGAGAGACTTCCATTTGATTGGAAGGTGGCCTTACAAAAAAATAATTGCAACGGTGTGTGTCTTGCAGCTGAAGTCCCAGGCGACATAAGGGAGTTTTCTTTCCTCATCTAGACAGATCCCTCCATTACCCATCACCACTGTGACATCTCCTGGCAGATGTCACAGCAGTAAAGAGAGAACTTGCTTATCCAATCCTGAAGAATGAATGAACTGCAAGCTATAACCACTAGGAACCTTGGCACTTGTAAATAAGAGAATTTATTCATATGTATAACACTGGCAAAATTATTCCTGGACATCTTAACTTTCCAAAGCATTTGCATCAGGAGATGGGAGGGGGTCAAGATCCCTTTTAAAAAAGATCTCTTGGGATGGATCTGTTTTGACATAGTGTGTGCCTGAGCTGCTGTCCCAGAGTGTTTTTAACTACTAAAATATCCTTCTCCTGTCTTCATTTTCAAGAGGTGGTCAGATGCATCTCTGCATGATACAGGTAGTTCTTGCTTAGCGACCATTCGTTTAACAATGGTTCAAAGTTACGATGGCCTCGGAAAAAGTACTTTATGACCTGTACTCCCACTTATGGCCATCACAAACCATTGCACCGCCCCCCACGGACATGTGATTGTGATTTGCAACCTTTTTTGTGAAGGTTGTTAAGCAAATCACATGATGGTTAAGCAAATTCTGGTAAAAAAGTCCATTGGAACATCTGGATTCACTTAATGACCACATGATTTAGTTTAACAACTAAAATGACCTCAGTGATTTGCTTAACAACTATCGTAGAAATGGTGGTAACATCAGGCCCAGTCATGTGTTGACTCGCTTAACAACCACCCCACTTAATGACCAATTTTCTGGTCCCTATTGTGGTTGTTAAGCAAAGACTACCTGTATATTGCTTGGGTTCACACAACACGCTAGGCTAAAATGTGGTTGGTTGAGTTGTGGTTTCACATGTTGGGGAGAACTGTCATGTCTTAGCAATTTGTATGAACCAGGGATCGTATTAAGCCATAAAGAAGTTGATTTGTCTGAGAATAGCATGTTACGTGAATAGAACAGTTGCATTTTGCTAACCCGGGTTTCCAGTTTAGCATGTTGTATGAATCTAGCCACTAACTCATGCTTATAGCTTCAGGTGGAATACATTTAGTTGTGACAGTAGCGCCTTCATGAGAGACATAGCTGAAAAATAAACACCTGTGTTATCAAAACAAAAGTGCATGGGACTCTACCACTATCCAAGAATTTCTCTCCTTTTCTCCTTGAGTCATTTTTTTTTTTTACAAAGAAGCGGCGTTAATCTCAAATGTTCAGACCTTCCCATTCTGCATGTTCTCTCATCTGAAATGCATTTCTATCCTTCCTCTTCTCTAGGAACTTCAGCTGCCCTACAGGGGTATCCTCTCACTTCATCCCCACAGTTAAAAATTTGTGATATAGGGTGGGTTAAGAAACAGTAACTGATTATCCCAAGGTTACTCAGTGCATTCCATGGTTGAGTGGAGACTTGAACTTAGGATGAACTTCTTGTTGATGAGATTTTTGGGTCTTAACCTACCAGAAAAAGGATGGGTATATGGGTCCCACCCATAATTAATTAATTAATTAATTGATGCAATTTCTATAGCCGCCCATCTCAATCCAAGTGCCTGTGGGTGGAGAACACGTTCAATCATTAAAACCATTACAAATTATACATATAGGCAACCGAGAATTATCATAAGAATTGCATAAAATGTCAGCTGGTTGAAGGAATATCCAAATTGGGAGTTCGGTTTTCCCAAACCATCCATGTTTTGTAGCAAATATGCTGAACTGCAGGATTTGAAATCCATCTGAAGGCCACCTGGTTGAGGAAAGTTGAAATAATACCACTGTTATGCCAGATAGGATGCATCCTGAAAGCAGCCACAGGTAAAAAGAACCACCC